GAGCACCCCCCAGCTCCAGCCTCCTCCTCTCCTCCCTGGCACAGCTCAACCACCAAGGAGATGAGGCTGTCCATCCTGGCAGACCTCCACGTGGAGATGAACCCCGAAGAGAACCTGGAGCTGGTGACCTCTGACTGCAAACCCACCCTGGAGGAGGTGCAGAGCACCGAGGAGATGGACAGGTCAGCCCCACAGTTTTTCTCCTTGTGGGATTTGGGTAATGGGTGAAAGAAGAAACTGAGGCACAAGTGTTTCTAGGCAGGAAGGTGATTGGATTGAGACTTGCTCACTGCCCTCACAGCTAAAAAAGGCCAGCACTAAAGCTTTATCTTCATGGGAGGAACTTTGCTCTGCTTTGGGGTGGTTTCCCCATTTTCAGAGAGTTTCAGTCTGTCAGAAGGGAGTGGTTTCTTTACAGTCATGCAGTTTAAATGCTTTTAATGAAAGTCCAGTGGCAATTCTCCAGTGGTTTGGGATTCTGAACTGTAACCATAGCTTAACAGATGATAGAAAACAATGGTAATTCTGTCTCTGGATGCCTTTTGGGTCAGATAAAAGACTCTCACCCACCTTTGGCTGATCTGGTTTTCTCCTAACTTCTGTTCTGTTCTGTTTTTACCCAGCAAGTCCTCGGGATCGGACTTGGACAAGCAGATCAACGTAGAAAAAGTAAGATAAAGTTTGTAAAGGCATAAGACAGCATTGTACAGGTCTGTAAGGATTAGAGCACCTTTATGTCTACCTGGTGCTTTTCCAGATTTCCCCCACAGCTCCATGCTCACTGGACCCTGCCATCGTCCCCTGGCTCCTGCTCCCAGCTCCCACCTCAGAGGCTTTCCGGGGACACCCAATGCCAGCAGACCCCCATGTTCATCTATCCCCTCTCTTTTTGTTCTTTATTCCATAGGTTTGCCTGGAAGTGGCCAAATTGCTGCTTTTCCCAAACGAACGGCTGATGTCTCTGGCAGGTGGGCAGCTGGCTCTCAGTCCCATTATGGACTGAGGGTTTCAAGGAGCATTTTGGAGCAGATTATGAGGTGGGACCAATTCCTACCCTGCAGCAGCAGAGGCTCATCTCCCCAGGGACCTGTTCCCTCTGCCCAGCTCTTTCCCTCTCTTTTTTACTCTGGAAACACAGCCACTTCCCAGGGCCTGTCACTCCTTCCCTCCTCTTCCTGACCACTCCTCTGCTCTATTTGCAGCTCCATTCCCCATCACACCAAACTGCCAAGTCCAGTACCTGCCCCTGGCTGCCCCCATGTACTCTGAGCAGGGAATTATCATCTCTTTGCAAGTAAGTCCTCACTTTCCAGCTCTTACAGCAGTCCTTGAAAGAGCTGCTTCCACCAAGTGCTGCAGCCCTCAGACACTTGAAATTAATTTTCTCTTTGCCTGTGTCTCTGCAGACAACGTTCCAAGTGGCAGGGACGGT